ACACACACACACTCCCTCACACACTGCTGGTTCTCACCGTTTTGGTGGGCAGGAGGTAGCTCAGCCTTGGACCTCTGAAGAAGAGGCAAAGTGACCTAATTTTTTGAAAGACAGTGTGTTACTGGGGCCAGTTCAGGTTCGGGTGCCTGCATCAGTTCAGGGATGTTGCAGTTGAAAGCAGGGCCAGGCTGTGTTGGGAGCCCAGGTCTGGCCTCTGAGCGAGGTCCCCTGCGGAGGGCCCTCTTCCAGGCTGGGCACCTCTGCAGGCAACATCCCACCTGCCTCTCGTTTCGGCCTCCAGAAGCCTCCCGCCCATCCTCCCCTGTCCACTCCAGGTTCTCATGCTTTCTCCACCCTGCCGAGATCCAGGGGCAGGGCTGGTAAACTCATTTCCAACCATGGTTCACTGAGGTTCAGTGACTAATGGATTCGCTGTGTCACTGCTCCCAAGGGGACAGGCACTGTCACGGAGAGCAAAACCTTAAGCCAAGGGTCCCGCCCTCTGTGGGCCTGGTGGATGGGTTGTTTGTTGAGTGCTCAGGATCTAGGGTCAAAGGGCCTGAGTTCAAATCCTAGCACCAGCCTTTATTAACCCTGTGGTCTTAGGCATTACTTACTCTCTCTACCTCAGTTTCCCCCTCTGTAAAACGGGGATAACAGTAGCACCCCCTCATAGCTTTAATAAGAGATTAAGTTGGAATCTAAGGAACTGGTGTTAGGGCTTGGGGCAGACTAGGGAAGCAATATGTGTTAACTGTTAATATCAATAATAACAATATTATAATATTTCGTTAACAATGGTGATAACGTTGTATGAACAATCCTAATAATGAAGCAATATGATAAAAAAAAATAATAACAATGGCAGAGAATTTGGGGCATCACCGAGGAGCGGTAGAATAGTATGCCTCACTGGGGAGAGGGAGGAAAGGCCAGCTCGGTGCTTCCCCAGAGCCTCTCACATCTGGGGCCATGTCCTCAGGGATGTCCCAGTGACCCTCCACTCACCCTTCAAAGCCTCAGCAGCTTTGGCCAGGCTCCTGGGTTGCCAAACTCCATTCCAGGTGCTTGGGGCCTGAGTGGGAGAAGCTTAGACTCCAGGCCAAGGGCAAGGGGACACTGTGACCAAGTCCTCTCTCAGGAAAGGAAGGAGTGGTGACCCTGCCCTGGCCGAGGGACATCACCTCCCCCTCCCCCAGGGGAAGCTGTAGAGATTCCAGAAGGTGTCCGTCATCACCCGGAAGGGGGGATGAGCTAGGGTGGGGCCAGGGGAGAGTATCAAAGGAAGTTTTAAAACCCTAGAGTTTGAAAGGAAGCAGGGTCCCCTCGCCCCCATGGTGGTGAGGGAAGGGCGCTTCCCCTGGGGGGCCACCATGGGCGTGAAAACTGTGGAGTCACAGCCCCCCTCCCTGAGCTGAACCACCGACAGGGCAGAAGTAGGAGTCGGGGCTGTAAGGACGCCAGCCCCGGTGCACTAGTCTGCTAAAATGAGGTCTCTGGACCTCCAGGAGGAGCAGAGTCCCCCACCGGAAGGGACTGTGTGCAGGGAGGGCTGAGTGGGGTGGACATCTCAAGCATGGACACCGGCATCTGGGGCCGAATGCCAGCTCTGCCCCGTACAGCTATCCTGGGGGCCAAGCCCACTCTGGTATTTACTCAGTCATCACACCAGCCCAAGGAGAGGGATGACGTTAGGGTCCGAGAGTGCCTCCGTTTCTTCATCTGTCAAGTGGGGATAACAACAAAACACGTCAGAGGGTTATCGAGAGGATGGAACAAGTGAATATATGCAAAGTGTTCATTCCTGTTACAGAGAAAGCTCTATATTGATTATTAGGCTATTTTTATTTCTGCGGGGGGAAAAAAAGAGTGTGAATTGACTAATCTGTGACTGTTTCCATCAGCCTCCCTCAGAGCGTACGTGGGGTGTGAGTTGAAGTTCAGCCTGATTCTCAATCATTAGAGCTTTTCTGAGCGTGGACCCTGGACCACCGCCCGTATCGGCTGATTCCGGATGCCCCCGCCGAGCCGGCATCTCGGAGGTGGGACACAGGAGTCTGCATTTTAAATGCCCCTTGCCTACAGCTCAGAATTCTTTGGGAAACGTCGAATTAGTTGAACCCCTTCCATGGGAAAATGACAAATGGAGTCTCAGGAGCCAGGGGACTTGGGCCAGGTGACAACTGGCTCTTGGGGCAGACTCCCCAGTTCTCCTGAGGGATGCTACATTGCCCACCCTGCCTCTTTGTTTCTGGAACATTCCAGATGACTTCTCATCTCGCCGCTGTCCTTCTCACCTCCACCCAAATCTTCGATTCATAGAGTCCCCACCGGCTTCTGTTGCAGACATTCCTCGTCCGCCGAGATGGCAGCTTGAAGCACCTGGTGCTCTGTGTCCACTTCCCTTCCCCGAAGGAGAGCTCGCCCAAAGTGCTCCAGTACGCCATCAAAGAAGAAAAATCAAGTAAGTGCTCGTCTTTCTGCTCTGGCCTCCGACCCCACAGCAGCAGCAGCAGCAGCAGATGCTACACCCCTAACCACAGACACGCCTGTCAGGCTGGAGGGGTTTAAAATTAGAAGAAGGGGGAAAGCTCTCAGTGTGCCGAAGCGGTTTTGACCAGGTTTGTTTTGAACCGGGTTTATCATGTGGAGTTGGTATGAGTTTCCGCTCACCCATGCCACTGCTTGTTGGCTTTGCTTCCTCGTGGCTGCTGTGAAGTTCCTTCCAATTGGCTCGGGCTGGAGAGAGGGAAGAAATGGAGAGGAAATGTCCAGGCCCCTGGATCCTAGTGGCAGCTCAGCACACACTGAAACCATGACGTGGGACAAGTCACTTAACCTCTCTGACCGTCTGGTTTCCCATCTGTCAAATGGACATAGCAGTCACTTCCTGCCTGTATGCCCTTTGTGAGGGTCAAATGGGCAAGCCTTTTGATAGACACAAAGCCTGTGTCTGTATGGGGCTGCCAGGAGCGGGCCTGTACTTCAGTGGGAAAAGCGTTTGGGGGCCCCCCCCCCAAATCAAGGGCGGGTTTGTACTGATACGCAGTGAAAGGGCTTGGGCTCGCCACCCCCATGGGCCATGCCAGGTGTTAGAAGAATCTGAAGACTATTCTAGCTAGGCACTTAGGTCCCTTATAGATGGATCTAGGGCACGTGGTAAGCTTTCTACTCTTGGTCAGCAACATGGTAATAACGGTCAAAGAATAGAAGATATTTATTAAGTACTATATGTATATGATATAAATATATTTACATAATTATATGTTATATAATTTATATTTACATAATTAAATATTACATGTTTTTAAAATATTTATTAATTATTTAGAATACTTGTTTCTTAAGTGATACTTACACCTGACACTGAGAAAGTACAAAGATGAGTAAGACAGAGTCTGGGCTCAAGGGCCTCCCAGTCTAATTGGAAGGTGGAAGACATGGTGGTGGGAGAAACAGACATCAACACCTGCTGTGCAGTGTGACAGGTGTGACGTCAAAGGGACCCTGGGCCAAGGGGCACAGAAGATGAATACTTGTTTCTTAAGTGATACTTACACCTGACACTGAGAAAGTACAAAGATGAGTAAGACAGAGTCTGGGCTCAAGGGCCTCCCAGTCTAATTGGAAGGAGGAAGACATGGTGGTGGGAGAAACAGACATCAACACCTGCTGTGCAGTGTGACAGGTGTGACGTCAAAGGGACCCTGGGCCAAGGGGCACAGAAGATGCAGATGTGAAATCAACTCAAAAAGAGTCTGGAGACTTTGGCTAGAAATAAATGATAAGGATTTATTCAAGAGTCATAAAATCTGCAGACTGGAAACACAGCTGGGCAAAAACCCAGGTGTGTTCCCAAGAAGAAAGAAAACTTGGGTTGTTATATTATAAAGCACATTCTTGAGAATCATCAGTCCTGCATTCTTGGCCCTAGGACTGATCCAGGACAGTTATCGGTCAGATGTCAGTGGTCTGGAAGTCTGATCACATTCCGTGGTCAGGATAATGGATGTCAGTGGATGTCAGGTGGTCTGGATACGTGAGTCCTTCACAGGGTAATCAGAAGGTTATCTGGAGGTCTGGTATATGTGCAGATGCATATCCAGGTGTTGACGCAGAACCAGAAAGTTCAGACGTTTGAGTTCCCAGGCGAGTTAGAACAAGAATAGAATCATTTCCTCAGGCCTCAACCTACCTGGTTTTAGTAATTTAGCAGCTTGACTAGGTGACTGCATTTTATTTCTTCACTCTATTCCTCACAGATCATCATGGGATTCCGGGAGGGTGTCAAAGGGGAGGGAACACAGGCTGGGTCCTGAAGGGTTAGTGTATTAGTTCAATTAAAGGCTAATTTTCTAGCTCAGGAGGTACAGGAGAAAGTGAAAGCAAAGACAGGTTTCTGCTCTCGCCGTAAGGGGCCTTTCTATAGAGACCCGGGCTCAGGAAGAATGAGTAAAACACGATTCACGCGCTTCTGTATTCGACAGACAGTTATTAAGTATCTGCTCTGTGTCAGGTGCTGTTCCACCGCTGGGGACACAGCAGGATCAAAACACAGTCCCTGACTCTCAGGGCTTACATTCCAGGGGAGGGAGGAGGTGGGAAACAAGGAAACAACATAGGGTGACTGTCAAACGGAGAGTCGGACTATGGAGAACAGGGAAGCAGGATCAGCCACAAAAAGCGTAATGGCTTAAACCCAGAGGAGGCTACTTTCCCACTCACGTGCGAGATTCCAGGTCATCACGGAAGGCTCCTTCAGGGCCCCTGGCTGATGGATGGAGGCTCTGCCACTTTGAACTAGCAGCTTCCAGTTTCCTATGGTTGACACTCAGGCCAACGTGCTGGAAGGGGAAAGAACGAGGAGGGGGCTCACGGGCAGGTCTCACCAAGGCCTGCGCTCACATTCCAGTGTCTAGAACTCGGTCATATGACCTTGGGCACCGGGCCCCTGCAACGAGGGTGATAACGGTGCCTCCCTCAGAGGGCGCTGGAAGGAGTTAGCGTGTCTAACGTGCTTAGGACAGGGAGCCCCTCTTCACGTGCTGGATGGGATGCTGCCCAACTCATGAATGGCTCAATAAAGCCAATTAGATATTTAAACTAAAAAATTAATAAAGTGCTTAGGACAGTACTCAGGGCATAATAGGATGTTAGAATAGTGTTTGTTGATGTTTTTGTTGTTAACCCTCCTGCAGGATTAAACCAAAATGGGGAGTAGACTAAGCCTACACACATGGTGCCGAGGTCCTGGGTAAATCCCAGCTGAGCACGTGGGCCTGCCTTGTAGTCTCTCATGGGAAGAGGGAGCCACCAACCTCCTGAGTCCTCCTGTGGCTATGGTGGCTGCAGCGGGAGGCAGCCTGAGAAGGAAGTGGGCAAGGGAAAGGCCCAGGGCCTGGAACTGGGGCCTTTTGTTGGGGTTCCCCACACAGGGCTGAAGCCAAGGAAGGAGACAAGGGGATCCCCCAAAACTGGGTGGTCAGCCTCATCTTTGGCCCCACTCTGTTTTGAACAAGAAAGACTCACCTGGACCAGCGCTATGCGTCAGTATGCTTGGGCTGTTCTCTAGTTTCTTGTTCAGAGTTTCTTTGAAAACCCCCAACCGGTCAGCTCGGACTGGTTATGCCACAATAACAAACAATCCTAACCTACAGTGGCTTGCACGCAGACCATGCGTGCACACACAGCACTGCACACAAAATGGCGTGAGTGTATTTTTCATTCACGTTACCTGTCAGCTGAGGTTCTTTATAAGAACATCTTTACTCTGCAATCCAGGCTGAAAGAACGGCACCCATTTGGGGGTAGAGGGGAAGGAAAGAGATGGCAGAATTCCACGATGGCTCTCAAAGCCTCAGAGGTGGCAGGTCTCACATCCACTCACATCTCCTTGGCCAAAACAGGTCAGATGGCCAGGCCAGATACCAGTGGAATGGGAAGTATTATCCTCCTGCCGGCGTATGACCAGCAGGGAGAGGTAGCAACGATTTTGAACAAGTGTTACCATCTACTGCATGCCCGCCCTCTCTCTGAGCTGCACTCGGGTGATAAGAAGGCTTTGCAATGAGTGTCTGGGTCACCACTCAGCCTCAGCAGGGACCCTCAGAGGCTAGATATGGGGGTGGGGAGTGGAAGGGCAGAGAACCAGCGGAAGAGACATTGAAGCACAAAGGAGCAGGACACAAGATAAGTAGAGGCTAAGCCAGCTTCTGGGCTGCAGTCCTGCCCTTTATGGTTCAAATTAACCACCCGGCCAGGGGACACTAGCTACTTTTTCATTAATCTGTACCCTCAAGACAGTGACAATGACATATTCTGCCGGATGCTAAAACACACACACACACGCGCACACACACACACACACACACACAGTTGGCCTTGTCTCTAGAACAGGAACTAAGAGACAGCGGCTGATGGTGCGGTCTGGCCCCTACAGGAAGTGACTGCTGGGCACTCAGTCTGAGCCACTGGCCCCTAGTTTCCAGGGCAGCCCCGCTTCATCCCCTGCTTGTTCCCTACGACCCGGGATGACCCTGGTTTGGGAAAGGCTGGTCTGTCTCAATTAGGACGTCTTCTTCTTGCCCTGAGCGCATCTCCCACTCTCACGCCTGTGGTTTTAGGCCCAGAAGTTGAAGCTGATGGATACACTTGTACTTGAGAATGGAGCCCACCTCATGGGCACGTTCGGTGAACATCGTACTGGTTGGTGATGATGGCGATCACCACTGGACCAGGGGGACCTTTTAAAGCAAGGAGGGGGAAATTCTAGATGAGTCCTCCTGGGAGTGGAGATCTGTATGTATGGGCGGTTCAGAGCATCACCCAGAATGCCTGTGCGGTCCACAGGGGAAGTTTGCATCAGTGCCCTTGAGTGCGACCTTTTCAGCAACTGACCCATTATCCTAGAGTGAGATTTAACCTGCATGTGGATCAAAATGTGTTCAGTCCAGAAAAAGGTATGGAATGATTATCATTCAAGTCAGGGCTTGTATGGAGAGGCAGCTCTTGATCTTTTATGGGGGACGGGGTGAGCAGCATCACTTCGTGGTGACTTTGGCACTCTCGTCAATGCAAATCTCTTTTGAGAGCATAAGCTTTGGAAGGGCAGACAGTTCTAGATCAATATCTGTCTCTGTCACCTCGTGACATCAGACAAGTTACTTAACTTCTCCGTGCTTCAGTTTCCTCGTCTGCAACAAAGCTGTTGGAGGATGGATGAGTGAATACTTGTAGAGACGTGGGATAGTATTGCCTGGTATGCGGGAAGGACCGAGTTTGTAATAGGAAATCGTGTTTGGTTTTTGTTCCATTCCTGGCACAGAGCTCCCCAAACCCTTGGAATTTCCTGAGTGATAAGAAAGATAAAGGTATCTTGATATTCATAACGAGTCCCTTTCAACCACACCTGAGTTTATGTTAATGGCACTGAAGGATGAGGACCGGATGCTGGGGGCACCAACC